ACATAACGCGGTATTAAACCGCGCTATATTTTAACTGCAAAAACACCGTTAAAGTATTGCGCGGTATAATACCGCATTATATATAGAAAAGTATCTTTTTTGGGGGCAGTAGAAACGTATTTTGAGTCCCTAAAATTGGTATTTAGATTTGGGACTCCGTATTACTATATGTATATATAGAGGAGGAGACATGACAACAATAGGATTTTTTATTGTTTGTGTAATATTAGGATTTGGTTCTTTAATTCCCTTTTCTTTTTGTTTTCGGGGAAAATTTTATTTTGTGTCTCATACAACTGACATTAGTTGTATGAGGTAACTTTTTTGTCTCACAATTTTGTGGACCCAGATTTCTGTGGACCCAAAAATATAAGATTGGGGTCCACAAATTTGTGAGACAAAAAAGAGTCTCATACAACTAGTGTAAGTTGTACGAGACACAAAATAAAACTTCTCCATTTTCGGCTTCCTATTGGCACTAAAATTAGTACTAATATGGTAATTTTATTACCACAAACTTTGCAAGTACAAAGAACTTGAAACAAGAGATAATTACTGCAATCCAAATAGAAGAATATTTAATTCAAGTTGTGTTGGAAAAAGAATTTCACGGAACAATTTTCAACAAATCCAAGGGAATTAGAAACAAATCAATATTCCCCCACATCCCTCTTTCATTGTAGAAAAATACAACATTAATGATAATACTTGTTTTTTAAAGGAACAAAAAAATTGTATGCAGTATATGTTGTAGTATTAATTTTTCAGATGTATAAGTAAATTAGAAAGAAACTGGGGAAGGAGCTGGAGCATCAGCTACATCTTCGAGTGCAGCTCCGTTGCTTGAGAGCTCAATCATAGCACGGTGTGGGTTGGTTCTCTGTTTGTTGCATAAATCTGGCAAATATACTCCTGCACAATTCCAACATACAAAATAACATTATTGTAGGAAAGAGTCCACTCATAAGGGTGCAAGTTTAATTATTATTGTAACCCTAGAATAACAATTGCTAGCGATTTCGACTTCACGTTATAGCCTGTAATCCATGTTATAGCCTGTAATCCCAACTGAGGACAGGTTCTTGGAGTTAGCTCACCCTCGCGGGGTCGCGATCCTTTGTTCCGGCTATTGTGGCTATTGTGTCACCTAGGGCATATGGGGCATGATGATTTGACGTCATCCTCATCTTCCTCCGACTTATCACCTACGGTCTGCTCAGGGTTCCGAAATAAGTACACATACTGTGTACAACTAAACAGAGGCAGAGCCAGGATTTCAAGTTTATTGGTTTGGAATGCTAATCCTTTTAAGTTATTGGGTTTTAAATTAAATATTTATAAGTATTCAATAATTTTTTAAAGACAAATATAGAGTTTGAACCAAAGCTACTGGGTTAGGTCTTCCCGGCACTTTAGCTCCGCTTCTGCAACTAAATATAGTGAATAAAATGGTAATGTTGGTACCTTCTCCAGCAGCCAAGTTGAAGTAAAGGTCAACAATGTTAGCACATTTTTGGTAACAAGCAGGGGAGCAAAGCTTAAAGGTGAATTGAGAATCAAGCAAAGCATCAGAAGAAATCCCAACAGAGTTCCTGTCACATCCACAAGCATCAACACATTCATCTGTCTCAATATGTTCCTTCATGTTTCCAACAATAACCTCAGATGTCTTGCATTGATATTCCACCTTCCCATCTTCCCCTGCTGAATTCTCCAACAAACACCTCTTCCCTGATGTCGCGATCGCGAAACCACACACATTTGTTGGCAAATCCTCACAAATGAAATTCCCTGACGTTATTAAACACACCAACAAAGCAAATGATCAAAATCTACTATTTATGATACATATACTTGTTACATTAAATCCACACGTTGTGGACTGGACACTGGCCGAGCCAGAAATTCTAAGAAGAGGATTGATTTTTAAGAATTGTACAAGAATATATGTCACCCATATGATAAAACTTCTGACTTAAAGTAATTCTTGAACCATCTTTGTTATTACACAAGAAGATTTTCTTAAGTCGAGGGGATACAACAATTTATTTGTGTACAAAACAATTTGTTATAACCCTATTTATGCAGTATAATTTTTTCGATGAATGAGATTTAATTAAACCCTCCAGATCATGTCGCTCCGCCCTTGATTTTGAGATGAAAAACTACTCTGGATATTGCAAATGAAAACATGCATTTGACATATTCAAAGAAGCGATGGAAATATTGCGTGAAAAGGGAAGAAGATTAGATATACAATACGTACCCAAAGTGCCTTGGAGAAAAAGGGCGCTAGCAAAGAAAATAATCATGGAATATTTCAACGTGGAAGCCATTTCTATTTTATTTCCTTTTCCTTTTGGGAGATTTCCCTTTTTTTTCTTTTGGCTATTTGTTTGTGGACGAACTCGAGGAAAATATTAATGGAGTTAGGAAATATATATGGGGTTTTTGAGATGAAGGTGAATGGAGCTAGGGGTTTCTTGAATTTATATAAGGAAGTTGAGGAGGAAGAGGAGAAAAAAGCGGTATGAGATTTAGAATATTTGGTTAAATTCCTAGTTGTTTGTTTGATTTTTTTATTTTCTGAATATTATTGATCTTCTTTTATTTTTTAAATTTTCATCTTATAAGGCATATACTCTGCTAAATTTTGACGAATTCTTCGAATTTGGTGTGCACGAATAGAAGGGAAGGATCTTTTGTAGAAGTTAGTGGAGCCCACGCGTTTGTTTCTGTCATTTATTTGATTTAGTTTTATTCTTTATCACTAAAGAATTAATTGTTTCGTTGAATTTCTTGTTGTTTGTAGTAAGTTTACTTCTTGCCTTCTAAGTGTAGTTGACGCCTAACAAGTAGTACGTGTTTTTTGTCTGCTAATTGAAGTTTCAAACTCTAGAAGTTGTCAATGAAAATCATATTTCAGATTCTCATACTTTCCTAATTTATATTTCAATTAATTAAGTTGCTGGTTTCCCACTAAAAGGTTAACGAAATTTCCATATCTTTACTATGAACCAAATAATATTTACGTGCATGCTTCGATTAGAAACTGTTGAAGTTTGGCAAAATGCCAAAGTCCCACATTGGTTGGGAGTTAAGTTTGGGGGGGANAAATGAATTTTTTCTCCTAACAATTAATATCCATAATTAGAGTGAATTTTCTCTCCTACAATTAATATGATATGTCAACAATTAATTAATGGACACAATTTATGCACCTAGCTAGTTTGGTTAATCATAAGCAATCTTAAGCCCCGGCAGATTTAGGGCTCATTTAATATGACAAACAAGGGATAATTAATCTTCGAATTAAATTTGAGATGAGTTTATCTTATATTTGATTAGGATATAATTGCGATATAATTAATCCTGAGATTAGTTATTCCGGGATTGTAGTGTTATTATCTCTCTTGGGATTACTTGTTTCCCAACCAAACGACCCCTTAAAGTACTAAGTGGGAGTTCAACAGAATCGATTCTGTTAAGTTCAAAAACTACGAATTTAAAAGTAAAAATATAGTAGTAAATTATGTTTTAATCGCATAATTCTAAATAATCTCTCAGTTTAATAGAAAGAATCTGAATTCATTAACTATAATATTCTGATGTAAGTGTGTGAACGTGAAAAGTCACAAACTTCTGTGGAAAAAATAGGAGCAACAATTTAACGAGTTGTATTTTATTTTGGATAAAAAATTATGAAGAGAATGGACAATGGACACGCTAGGGATGTTACCGAAAAGATACTTCTGAATAAGTCAAGTCAATTCCATTTATTAATGTCTTATTCTTGTTTAGCAAGTTGATTTTTTTCAATTTTTATAAATGGAGTATAGTCTTATAAGTAGTACATTAAGATTTCCTTGTAATGTGCATATGTCACCGGTCAAAAAGTCACAATTTTCACTACACATTTTATGCAATAAATTATTTTTTAATCATTTGTCTTCAAAAGGAAGTTCATGTTCTGAGGTAGACTCAAGATTCAATGGTCGCAGGTACCATGACATTCAATATAAGTTTATTACTGTCAGAAAGATTGGTATAGTGTGCCTAATATTTGACTATTTTTTGAAGACATTTAGAAGTATACTTTTTGCTGAAAGTTTCGAGGTGCTAGTAACCCCTCTCCCTATAGTGTGCGTCTGCCTCTGATAATATCAATTACATATTAGTTTCTTTTTAAATGTCTTTGGGAAGTTTTAGCGTGGGAAGAGAAGTTAAACAACTTGTCTAAAAACTCATAATTGGAATCACTTGACGTGATAGGGGTGGGAAATTTTTTTATATTAATGATGTACATAACTTAAATTTATACAATAAATATTACTCTATTGTTTATGATATAGGAGCCAAGAAAGAAGTCTTAAAGTAATTATAATAAACCTAATCTAGATTCAAATTCTCAAACGAACACTAGACTCAAGGTATGGCCTACACGTCTTAGCTTTTTCTATTCTCCCATTTTTGTCAATGAATTCTTTAGAAAACCCAATTGCACAATTATTAGACATGATCAAAAGTGGATTCAGAATTTTAAGTTAGTAAATACATCATATATTACATACTCACTATTCTTAGTATAGTGATCGTTCGTGTATATATATATATATATATAATTCGAACTTAAAACAATATTATACTAGGCGAATAGACCGTTGCCATTACACTCCAAGGTGTAGAAGTTTGTCATGGACCATTATAAAATATGGATAATGGTATCCAAAAACCCAAGTTATTATATTGGATTTATTCTGCAGCCTAAGATCAGAGAGATGTGAATTCTGAACTCAGCTCAAACGCTTAACCACGAATGCCAGGATAAGTGGGACCCTCTTAATTACCAGCCTTACACTTTATCCCACATTTGCCAACTTTAAATTGAGAGAGAATAACAATCAATTATAAATTAGTAAGTATATTACTCGTTAGCTTCAATTTTATATTGTATTTTCTTCCTTTCCCGTTTCAAAAAAAAAAAAAAAACTTTTCTGTACTTAAAAAAAATTTAGCTTTAAATTTTTCATTTATGGTCATCGAAATGGTTTTATCACAAGTTCTCTAAGTATACATGATATATATCAAAAAAAATTCTTTCTTCTCTAAACTTCGTGTCAAATTAAATTCTGTTTATGAAATGAAAAGTATGGAGTATAATAAACAAAAGTATTTTAATAAGCGATAGAGGAGACCAATTAATTGAAATTAAGATTAGTTGTTATTAGCACATTTTAGGTAGGTAGGTTAATGTTTAGTAGTAAATCTTTTAGTATGATTAACTAGTGAGAAATGAAACAAAATATAGACAGAATGAATATTCAATATTCACACGCACAGTATTAGTTTTGAATTGAGAGACAGTTGGTGTAGTAAAGGATGAGAAAGAAATTTTTGTGATCACAAATCACTAAGGCAAAAATCAAAAGTAAAGCAAAATTAGTAAATTACCAATGGCGGTTTCAACTACCACAGCGCCAACTTCAAACTTTAGCTTCTCTAGCTTTCATTCCATTTCTCGCCTGTCTCTTTTTCAACTATATGCTCTACATAAAAAGACTTCATTTTTGTACACCAAAAACAGCATAAAGAGAAGCTGTGGACATAGAGGAGTGAGGTGCATGGTCATTGATAGAGGTGCAACAGAGGCTATAAAAACCAAGAAACAGAATGGATATAAGCTGCAGACATTGACTAGCTGGTTGTTGATGCAAGAACAAGATGGGGTTATTGATTCTGAACTTACTATTGTTATTTCAAGTACTTCTATGGCTTGTAAGCAGATTGCTTCTCTGGTTCAGAGAGCTGGCATTTCAAAACTTACTGGAGGTCAAGGTGCTGTTAATGTTCAAGGAGAGGACCAAAAGAAGCTTGATGTTGTCTCTAATGAGGTTTATAACTCATTCTTCTAGTGCTTTTTTTCAGTATAACCATTCGAATCAGGCGCGGAGCTAGTAGCTGACATACGGGTTCGGCCGAACCCAGTAGCTTTAGTTCAAAAATTAAAAACCTACTTACTAACACCTGATGTCGCTATTCTAAAATTTAGAACCCATAAAGTGCAAGTCCTAGCTATACCACTGATTCAAATTATTCAGTATCTGAGTTCACTGGCATAACTAATCTGGATTCACGCTGAATAGTCCACTAAGTAGTAAAGTGTTCCCTACTGAAATGTTGTTCATTTTTAAGGCTCGAACTCGAGATTTCTACGTTAAGAGTGAAAGGGATTCCAACAATCCCATAATACCTCGGTGGTAACTCATTCTTGTAGTTAGTATACCTAACTAGGACTTTCACTACCTCCGAATCAATATGATCATCTTCTGTTGTGGATCATCAGATTAACAAACTTTTGTGTTTCTAATTTATTTGACCCTCAGAAGAATGACACAAGAGCGGAAAAGGTAATCCTAACATTCAAAACAATGATATTGATGTGTCAAAAATGGATGAATGCTAATACTTTAAAAGGGAGTCAATAATTATGTGTATAGTGAACTTGCTATTTCTGGCATAAGATTTGTTTAGCACATTACTTATCAAGGAACAAAATTTATGTATTTGTTTATTTACTTGTCGCTTTAGGGGTTCGAGGTTTCTGCATCAAGAAGTAAGTTAACTTAGAAAGATTCGGGATAAATGTCTGGAGTGTTACTTGTATGGCATTATTGAGCTGGTTATTGAAGGTTGATGTAAATGGCTTGAACAGGTATTCTCTAATTGTCTAAGGTCAAGTGGACGGATAGGGATTATAGCGTCAGAGGAAGAAGACGTACCAGTGGCAGTAGAGGAGAGTTACTATGGAAACTACATTGTCGTATTTGATCCTCTTGATGGATCATCAAATGTTGATGCTGCTGTATCTACTGGCTCTATCTTCGGAATATACAGTCCAAATGATGATTGCCTCGTCGATCTTGAAGATACTACCATGGTACTATACGGACTATTTATCCTTTCTAGTTACGAATTGTGTTAGAACGATAGTTAAAATAGTTAACTATCGAATACCTGTCCAAAATTGCAGCTTGACAATGTGGAGCAAAGGTGCATAGTGAATGTGTGCCAACCAGGGAATAACCTTTTAGCAGCAGGCTACTGCATGTACTCGAGCTCTGTGATTTTTGTGCTCACGTTGGGAAAAGGAGTCTTTTCTTTCACCTTGGATCCAATGTTTGGAGAATTCATTCTAACTCAAGAAAACATCCAAATACCAAAAGCTGGAAAGATCTATGCGTTCAACGAAGGAAACTACCAGCTATGGGATGACAGGTTGAAGAAGTACATCGATCGCTTGAAGGAACCCGGTCCTAATTGTAAGCCTTATTCGGCTAGGTACATTGGCAGTTTGGTTGGTGATTTTCATAGGACACTTTTATATGGTGGTATTTATGGCTACCCGCGAGACAAAAAGAGCAGGAACGGGAAGTTGAGGCTTTTGTATGAATGCGCGCCCATGAGCTTTATTGTAGAACAAGCTGGTGGCAAAGGATCAGATGGCCAACAAAGAATTCTTGATATTCAACCAGTTGAGGTGAGAACAAACTAATTGTTACATTTGCTGTTAACAAGCAAAATAGGTTAGTAGTTAATTTGGTTTCTTTTGTTTCTGTCTTTGCAGATACATCAAAGAGTTCCATTGTTTATTGGAAGCACAGAAGAAGTTGAAAAATTGGAGAAGTACTTGTCTTAATGCAGATGTCTTAGTGACTTTTTCAACCTCTTTAATATTGTAAGCACCAAAAGCTGTAAATTTGTATATTAATTCAAATAAAAGCTGTAAATTTGTATATAGCACAAATGCCTGAATAATTATAGGCTCTTGAAAAGCTATAGAGTGATTCAATTCACTATACAATTGGAATTGAGTGTCACACCTCCTTTTTCCGCGCCCTATGGGGCGCAGGGGAGTTTTTTCCAATTAAAGGACAA